AAGGATAAGAAAGAGCAGGGAAAGGATAAGGGGCAGCCACTTTCAGAAGTGTGCTAGAATGTGTAAGAGATGATGAAGCTGAACAGAAGCAAGGACCCAGTTCGGAGGGTGTAATAAATTAACATAGCTATTAGAGTAGAATAATTATGAGAATCAAAATTTTGCATGACTGATCAGAGGGGTTCGTGACCTGTGAGGTGGAAGAAAAATGCCTAGAGGAGATCAGTGAGAACAGCTTTAAAATCCTGATAATACCATGCAGACTGAGGAGAGGGGAATATATAGGAAGAAGATGGAGATGTCTGGGACATTGGCAGGGGGCACAGGATGGCTCAGTCCACTTCCTGTTCTTATTTCAAAGGAACAAAGGATTCTCTAAATGGCCTTGGGGAACCACAGCACCATCACTGAGTTCATCCTCCTTGGACTTTCTGCTGATCCCAAGGTGCAGGCTCTGCTCTTTGTGTTGTTCCTAGTGATTTACCTTCAGACTCTGATAGGGAACCTGATGATGTTGCTGGTGATCAGGATGGATTCTCATCTCCATACACCCATGTACTACTTCCTGAGTCACCTCTCTTTCCTGGATCTTTGTTTCTCTTCTGCCACAATGCCCAAGATGCTGGAAAATCTCCTGTCTCAGAGGAAAACCATTTCTGTCAGGGGTTGCCTGGCTCAAGTCTTCTTTGTGTTTGACACTGGGGGCACTGAAGCCTGCCTGCTCTCAGTGATGGCCTATGACCGCTATGTTGCCATCTGCCACCCTCTGCTCTATGGCCAGAAGATGACCAACAAGCTCTGTAAAGGGCTAGCGTGGGGCTCATGGGGCCTGGGGTTTCTGGATGCATTCATCAACATCCTACTAGCTATAAGCTTGGACTTCTGTGAGGATCAGTCCATCCCCCACTACAGCTGTGAGCTGCCCTCTCTCTTCCCTCTGTCTTGCTCCGATGTCTCTATCAATTTTACTGTTCTGCTCTGTTCCAGCCTCCTGCATTCCCTTGCAACTTGTGTCCTAATTGTTTTTTCCTATACTGTCATTGTCTCCACCATCCTGAGTATCCGCTCTTCCTCAGGTAGAAGCAAGACGTTCTTCACCTGCTCCTCCCACCTCACTGCGGTGCTCCTGTTTTATGGTTCAGCTTTCCTTCGTTATTTCATACCAAACACAGGTTCACCATTGGAGTTGATCTCCTCTGTACAGTACAGTGTGGTCACTCCCTTAGTGAATCCCCTCATCTATAGCTTGAAGAACAATGAGGTGAAAGCAGCTGTAAGAAGGACCTTTACAAAATATCTCCAATATTTCAGGAAGCTGACCACAGAGGATGATGGAGAATTAGTCTACTGGAGTAAAATATTCTGGTTTGGTGATAATCAGAGAATTTCTTGATTGCTTCAGATAATGATTGCAGAAAGGAGTCTTAGAAATTCATAGAGCTAGCCAGGTGCTCAAGAGACCCATATCAAGAATGAAAGAAATAATGGGGCTGACCCAGTGGCGTAGCAGTTAAGTTCGGGCACTCTGCTTTGGCGGCCTGGGGTTCTGCCAGTTCACATCCCGGGCGCGGAATGATGCATGGCCTATCAAGCCATGCTGTGATGGCCTCCCATATAAAGTAGAGGAAGATGGGCATGGATGTCAGCCCAGAGCCAATCTTCCTCAGCAAAAAGAGGAGGATTGACAACAGATGTTAGCTCAGGGCTAATCTTCCTCACCAAAAAAAAAGAAAAAAAAGAATGAAAGAAACAAATATTTCTTCTCATTGCTGAGTAGTAATACATTGTATGACTGTTCCACGGTTTGCTTATCTATTAGCAGGTTAAGAACATTGGGGTTATTTCCAGTTTCTGGCTATTGCAAATAAAACTACCAAGAGCATTCACATACAGGTTTTGTGTGAACATAAGTTTTCAGTTCTTGAGTGTAAATACCCAGGAAAGGGTTTGTTGTGGCATGTGGCAAGTGTAGGTTTAACTTAATAAAAACAAATTTCCAAGATGTTTTCCAGAATGTCTGTATCATTTTACACTCCCACCAGAAATGTATGAGAGATTCAGTTACTCACAACATCGCCTGAACATGGTATTGTATTTTTTCTTAATTTTAGCCATTCTAATAAGTGTGTAATGGTTTTAATTAGAAATAAACTAAACCCCTAAAACTGAGTGCATGTGAAAACCGGTCCAACCAGAAGTAGCTTCATAGTTTTATACCACTGTCACTTTCCTGGTTTTGATAACTATACTATGACTATATAAGATCATATCATTTAGGAAATCTAGGTGAAAGGTGCACAAGAAGTGTTTGTACTATTTTTGCAAATTGTATGTGATTCTAAAATTTTCAGAACAAAAGGTTTTTGAAAATATGTTAATAACTATGGACTTTGGGTGACTATGATGTGTCAATGTAGGTTCATCAGTTGTAACAAAGTAGTACTCTGGTGGTGAAGTTGATAAAAGGGGAGGCTATGCATGTGTGGGGACAAGGAATATACGGAAATTTTCTGTACTTTGCCTCAATTTTTCTGTGAACCTAAAACTGCTCTAAAAAACTAAAGTCTTAATAAAAAAATATGTTTTCACATACATAGAGTAAAAGTAAAAGGATAAAAAAATAAACAATGAAAACTAAATAAAATAAGGTTGAAGTGACTATATTAATATCAGACGAATTCAGCTTCAGAACAAGAAATAATATCTGTGATAAATAGGGATATTTCATAAGTATGAATGGGTTAACACATCAAGAAGACATAAGAATTCTAAAAATATATGCACATAAAAACAGAGCTTCAAAACAATGAAGGAAAAACTGACAGGTTAAATATAAAGAGAAAATCACAAGTGTAGCTGGAAATTGCAACACTCTTCTCTCAATAATCAGTTGTAAAAATAGAAAAACAATCTGTTGCTTGACTACAGGAAACGAGTGTAGAAAGGACCTAAAGGATACTATAAAATAAATTGTTCCAGGTGACATTTAGAGAAGAGCGCCCCAACAACAGCATAACGCACATTCTTTTCAAGAACACGTGGAACACTCCCCAAGATGTTTTATTCTAGAGGAAAACCAAACTCATCAAATAAAAAAGAGTTGAAGTTGTATAAAGTATGTTTTCTGACATCAAGTAAAAATTATAGTTTATTCTAGAAATAAACTAAACCGCAACAAGAGAAAGATATCCAGAAAATCTCCCAAATATTTGCAAATTGAA